GAGCTCAGCAGCTCAGGACATGGGGCTTTTATTAAATTAAAATAAAAAAAACCCCAAAAAACAGAGGGTGGTCTGGAATGGAAAGCCTACCTACAGTGGGGATGTCTGATCTCATTAATGACACACAGTGGATCAGCACTGTGTGTCTCCTTCCCAGCCACCTCGTGTGTGGGGCTGACTCGGTGGCGGGGGAGGATTTGCGGTGCCGCGGCCGCCGAAGCGAACTTTGGCCAATTTCAAAGAGGCACTTTGTCAGAAATCACCAAAAATCCCCACTGAAACGCTGCGAAGAGTCTTCAGTGCAAGCATGAAAAGCTGCATTATCCTGTTGTAAAGTGAAAGGGGGGGGAAAAAAAAGCAGTAACAATGGCAAAGGGGATGTTTGCCTGGATTGTGTGTGTCTCGAGGAAAGGCAAGTTTAACCTGCTGTAACGCAGGGTCACTTCCCGTTAGCAAAACCCCCTGAAGGGAGAGGAGGGGGAATGTAAAAAGATACTTTACAGTAAAACAATATACTTATTTTACTCAGAGATCAAGGATTCTTTTTTTTTTTTTCTTTTTTTTTTTTCCTTTTTTTTTCTTTTTTTTAAAGGAGTTTTTGAAAAACTACCCTTGGTTTCACAGAATATCTTTAACTCCCCCAATATCGTCTGGTTTTCACTAAGTCATTATTTAAAAACTGAGCTGTTGTCATCTTCTTTCTTGCACAGGGCAAAAATGACCTTTCTCCAAATGTAATTATGACTTTGTTCCCTAAATTTTCTCCTGAACTTTTACAACCAGGATCTGTACTCACTGAATTTTATTAATGGAGTCATTCTGTTCTCCGTTTCTTCGAGTTTTGCTCTCCTGTATCTCCCAAAGCATTACACTTGCATGTCTTTGTTCATTAGTTTTAAAGTCTTTCTTCAGCTGGGATAATAGGAAAACCATATATTTCTAGTCATCCAGTTGCAATTCTAGCCACTCTCAGAGGGGCATATATATTTCAAGCTTGGTTCGTGGGGATTTAGATATACAATTCCAGATAGTCTTAATGAGAGTAACAGTCCTAATTCCCCACACAGCATATTAAAATTGGGTCCAGAATGTACAGAGTGAAACACTGTGATCTTACCTTTAAGTACCTTTGCCTTGTTCTCTTTTTTTTTTTCCCCTCAATATCATTCGCATCTGTGTTCGTTAGTGAAGGTAACTGAGAGCTGCCCTGAGGAAGAGGGAGCTGATCTTTGGAGCCCTTGTCTGGTTTGCTTTGCTGTGTTTTTTTTTTTTTTTACTGTGGATTCACTGCACCTGCGTGTACCTTTTGAACAGAAAGGTTAATTCAAGAGGGAGTTGGAGGAAAGAATTTAGCAAATTGCCTCTGTTATTATTCTGATTGCCTTCGGTGTTAGACAAGAACAAGACGCACCATTTTTATCGCCTTAATTAAATAAAAAAAAAATTAAAATCCCCCCATACTGTGAATCTAATAAGGATTAAGATTTAGTTACGATATTAGAACGAGATCTAAGGAAGACAGTTTTCATGCAGGAGAGATGTGATGGTTTTATACCTGAATTTCATGAGGAATTGCGCTGGTTTTAATTCTTTCTTAGTCATCCTTTTGTCGTCACAAAACACTAAGAAACATCCATCACCTTTTTCTAATTTGAGACCCCATTCCTAGTTTTGTTGGTGCATTTCTTTCTCTCCTAATCCATGTCCTTATAGGTGTCCCCCAGACCTTGTGCAGTGAATGCCACTGGTGGCATTTCTTTTGGCAGGGTAAGGGTGCAGTGAGGAGGGAGGGTTGTCTCCATTTGCACTACATGTAAGGCATTTCCTGGAGCTTAATTCTCACTTCTTGAAGGTTCCTGTACTTACACTTGGAAGCCAATATCCCCAAATAACTGGCCTGGTAGTTAGGAGTAAAGTTAGGAGTGCGAATACTCTTCTTTCTTTTGTTCAGATCAACATACTAAGAAGTTAGAGAGGAGAGACGCGAGAGTCTGCTCCTTCACTCACTCTGGTCTTTCCTGTTTTACCCTTCTTCCTCACAGCCCGTTTTGACCACTTTGATGATTCCAGCTGGAGTTTTGGGTACTGATGCCCAGCAGCCAAACAGTCCCTCCTGGGGACACAGCCACGCTTTGAGCCATCTGTCTCAGTGAAGAAGCTGTTTGGCTTCACAACACACCCCCATTTGTTGCACAGACCATTTCCTTCTATGAAGGCAAATTATCTCCTACTTTGATGCAGCCACGGATGAGCAGAAACTCTTTTCTCCTTTCCAGTTTCTTCTTCTCTCTGTTGTCTGCTGGCCAGTAAACTCTTTTCATTTAAAAGGTGATTTAATGGGATAATCTGTTTTCCATTCAGGTTCTTTCTGTGGCTCTTTTTTCTTTTCCCCCCTATCCATCTAACATCTTGGCTGCCTTAGTGAGAGGACTTCTCCTCTGCAGTTAAATGCTACCTGCTGCTTTCTTCATCTTCTGCTACCCCACTGCTTGTTCCTTCCTCCTCCCACAAACACTCTGTGATGCCCATGACCCCATTAATCTGCCCCAGTGTTTTTTCCTCTCCCTGTGCCCTAAGATATTCATGGCAACACAGTGTGTGACTGCAGGTCTGGCATCAGTCAGGGGCTGAAGGAACAGGTTGCTGTGTATGGATGAACTCGGGGTGTGTGCACAGAATTGAGTCTGCCCAGTGTGCTGAGAGCATTTGCATCAAAACCATTTCCCTCTGAGAAGAGAGTTTAGTTTTGACAAAAGATAAGGCGAATATTTGCAATGCATGAAAAGCAAGGAGAAAAATAACTTAGAGAGGAGAGGGAGAGCTTGGATGCTACCCCAGAATCTGAGAGCTCTGTAGGCACCTCCTTGCTTTGACCAGGTTTCCTGTAAGGCTGTGAAATTGCTTAGGATGGGGTTCATCCCAATCAGTAAAAAAAAGGGCTGGCTTTTTTTTCTGTCTGTGCTGATCTTCAGGGATCCCTCATTAGAGGATCCCCTGAGAAGCTGACTCCATCTCCCTGTATGAACGTTTACAGAAAGGAACTTAAGATGTTATGATTGGAGTCGATGATCTTGGAGGTCTTTGCCAACCTAAACAATTCTGTGATTCTGTGTTCAAAACTTTCTGATCTGCATGGTAAGGGAAAAATAGTAAATGCTGTATCTTAATGGCTCTGATTTCCTCAGAAATTCAGGGTAGTCAAAAAGAGCCACTCAGACCACTAAAATGCATAGGAGACCATCATTTTGTGCCAAGAATATTTCTCATCTATTGTGGGTGGATTAAGGATTGGGAAAGGGAACTGAAAACTTGCCACACTGCAAGATCTTCTTTTAGTGAATGACTGTGAGATAAGAAAGTGTCTAAGATGGAATCACAGAATCACAGAAACACAGAATGGTTTAGGTTGGTAAAGCCCTCTAAGATCATCGAGTCCAACCATTCCCCCAGCACTGCCAAGCCCACCAACCCATGTCCCCAAGTGCCACATCTACAAGGTTTTTAGATACCACCAGTGCCATCTCATCCTTTCTCATGGATTGGCTCAGAGGAGAAAAACACTTCCCTCTGTCCTCAACTAAGACATGGGAAAGAAGTGTTTAGAAAGGGACAGCTGCTGAGAGTGAGTCAGCAGAGAAAGGAATTACGTTAAATCTGCTTTTAAAAAGTCTTTGTATTTGAAATACCAGTCATTTATGGAATGTTTGATGTCCACATTATAGAGTAGGACAATCCCTGCCTGGTTTGTTTGGCTTTGTGGTTAGGGCTGAAACCAGTTGGGTTTTTTTCCCTTGTACCTCCCAAATGTCTCGGTTACATTTTTTTTTCAGAGATTTTAAATAGCCATCGATCATTCCCCCCTACATAAATCTCTAGGTCTGAGCCAGCCTGTGACTAGAACTGCTAACAGGCCATTCATGCACAGGATTAAAAAGGAGGAGCAGAGCTGTGTGTATGGCCATGGGGCTGCTGCTAAAAGGGGCCACTGCCCAGGGGCTTAGAGGGATACTGAACAGTTCCCATCTGCTCCTCCTTTTTCCCCTAGCTGATCCTGATGCCATCTCTGTGCTGTCCCTAATTTCTTGGATACAGTTTCCTTATTTTTTAATTTTTTTTGCTACGCTACTTTTTCTCCCTTCCAAACTCTGCCTAAAATGCACCTTCGTAAATGGACATTAGGTTTAATCAATTTTAAACCAGAGAATCATAGAATAATTTGGGTTTGAGGGGACCTTAAAGATCATCCCCTGCCATGGGCAGGGACACCTTCCACTAGCCCAGGTTGCTCCAAGCCCCGTCCAAACTGGCCTTGGACACTTCCAGGGATCCAGGGGCAGCCACAGCTTCTCTGGGCAACCTGTGCCAGGGCCTCACAGGGAAGAACTTTTCCCTAATATCTCATCTAAACCCACTCTCTTTCAGTTTGAAGCCCTTGTCCCGTCACTCCAGGCCCTGTAAATATTCTCTCTCCATCTTTCCTGCAGGCTCCTGTCAGGTCCTGGAAGGCCACAATCAGGTCACCCCAGAGTCTTCTCATTTCCAGGCTGAACAATCCCAACTCTCTCAGCAGAGCTGTTCCATCCCTCTGGTCATATTGGTGCCTCCTCTAGACTCACTCCAAGAGATCCATGCCCTTCCTCTTAAGTGAATAAGAGGCAAGACAAAGACACATAGCACAGTTTTTTTGTCAGAGATATCTTGACTCTTCCATGCTGTCCATCAGAGTGTGTGTGTACTTTTTAGAAGGGCAGTGTATTTTTCTGAACGGTGCCCTCTGAGATTGTTTATACCCTCTGTGATTGTTCCTGTCAATAACTTTTTGTTACAGCACAGCTGCACAGCAATCCTGATATGAAACTTGTATCAGTTACAGCTTTTAAAATGTGTTTCTGAAAGCAGTTTTGCAAGAAATAAAAATCTTGAGAATTGTGGGGAAAAAAAAAAAAAGCAGTATTCCCACGATATGGGATTTGGGGTGGGTTTTTTTCTGCTTTTCACAGGAACACAAATGCTGTTGGGAAGAAGGAAGAGGAGCTTCATTCTTCCAGATGCAGCATCCAGAGAGGCAATCACTGCTGCTGGCTCATCAAAAAGGAGAGATCCCTCCAAAGACACCTCCAAATCCAAAGAGATCCAAGCACAGGGCGTCCTCAAACCAAAACTGTCTGTCTCCAACTGCATGTGCAATACAAAAACATCATCAAGGATCCTCTCGGAAGAAAACGCTCACAGGCAGAACCAGCTCCTAAAAAGTAAGGTACAAATCCTGCTGGGGTTGTCAGGAATATGGTTTCAATAATAAGATGAGATCAGTCTCAAAGAAAAAATGTGAAATAATGGAAAGTCAGGCCATTTTTGTCCAGCTTTAAGTGCTGAGTATGAGTCATCTGGTGAGAGATCAATCAGCTAATCTGACTGTATACATTGCTATGGTTAATAGAAAACGAGATTAAACCGAGAAGGATAGGCTTGCTTTGCAAGGAGGGTTCAAGAAAATCTTGAAAAAGCGTTAAAATTGCAAAATCAAGCAGCCCCAGTCCAACCAGGAAGCACCAGAAGTGAGATTATTTTTACACCCTCGTTCTGATACCTCTCTTTCACTTCTGCAACCTTTTCTTTCTGACACAACAGCCTGAACTGTGATTATCAACAAGGTTTCAGCATGTAAAACATAATTTCCTCTAGTTCAGCAGCGGCTGGGATGTCTTACTTCCAGCATTTATTCTCACAGCTCAACTGGAGGTGACACAAGCAGCTGTACTCATGCATAAGATATTTTTGCAGAAGACAACTGAGATTAATTTGGCTTTAATATCAATATGTTTGTGAGAAATTAATTCCTTAAAATGCTGTAGTGGTCATACACCCTTTTTTCTTAATAGTTTTTTTGTGAGTAGGTAGGCAGGCAAAACCTTTTCATTATTGACTATAAAGCTACTGAATGTAACACCCATTTAGCTGAGAGAAGCCTAAATTCAGGGCCTGAAGTTAAATTTTCCTAACTGGAAGTGACTTTGCTTTTTAAAAAAAGTGAAGGATCCACTGAGATCTGTCAAAGACCACATTAATCCACACCTCTGTAAACCTGGCTTATTGAGGAGTTTAATTTCATGCTCACAGGTTTCAAGGTTTATTCCAAAATGTTACTAAGAACAGTATTGGGGAGGAAATACAGCTCAGGCTTTTATAAGGCAAATGTACCCAACCCAGACCACTTTAATATGTTTTTTAAGTACAATATAATATGTACAATATGTCATAAAGAGGAAAATATTTGAAGTTTATTGTAACCAAAAATTGAAATAAAACAGTAACGGGCTTTCTTCCCAGATATGTAGTTCTAGAAATCAATTTATTTGGCAAGGAAGAAGTACTCCAGTGTGACTTTTCAAAATAGTTCATATGGAGCTCTTCCGAAGTTCCTTTGTTATTTTGGATTCATTCTGTCTTCCAAATAAGAATCTTCTCAACTCTGATTTTTGAGCACAGAGCTTCTTTTGGTCCTAGTTTGTGCGGGGAGTAGCAGCCAGTGAGCATTAAAATTTGATTATAATTGTAGCAAATAATCTCTTTTTCTCAAGGTGAATTGACAGCTTTCATAATAATATGCTATAATGCATATTGACCTTTTGTTGATTATTTTTTTCACGGAGCCTTTCCACTGACTAAGGGATATGTAGAAATGATAGAAAGCAAACTGTATTATTAGCAGAGAAAAAAAACCCCAGTATTGTTCGTGAAAGTCTCAATGTGGTCAAAGGGAAATTATATGTGATTAAGGTCTGTAACAGTATGTTATTTTCTGCAATAAATTGGAGTGAACTCAAACTGCAGGTCACAGCCTGATATCCTTTGCTTTCCATGGTGCAACTGTGTCTTGCTTTTGGGAAGGGAAGACCAGCAAACAGATCCAAATTACGATTATACTTCACTGTGAGCTCTGGCTTAGCGTGAAAGATCCTCTGGGTGTCACAGGGCAGGCAGTAGTACCTGGGATTAGATCTGATCTATTCTGCTTAATGAGGCCTATTAATAACACCTTGGCACTCTTGTTTCAGAATCTGCCCTCTGAGTCTAATGAGGTGGAGAACCCAATAAAAAAATTAGCCGTGCACTCTTAATGAACTTTTAAATCTCTCCAAGGCGATTCCGAATTCCGCGGTTCAGGTGACAGAATAAAGGAGCTCAAGGACGAGTTGGAGCGAGCCAGGAGGGTGACACTGTCCACAGCTCATTGGCCAGGTGTGACTTGGGAGGAAAACAATGTGCTCACCTGGCCAGGAACCGGCTCCCAGCCGGAGGAAATTCCAGCAGCCCCATGGACACTGCAGGTAAACTATCAATTTGTTTCTTTTTTTCATTTCTTTTTCCTTTTTTTCCTTTTTTTTTTCTCCTTTTCCAATGGATGGTGTTTGTTTCCTGGGGACTCACTGCAGGCAGAAGTTCCCTTTCCCTTGATTTTTCTCCCTTCCAGTGAAGTTTTGGCAGTTTGTACCTGCTGCCAAGACTTGCTTGGTTGTCTGGTTGTCCAAGCTCCCCGTTTTGAGCCCCAGCTGCCAGTTCTATGGAGGAACATGTTAAAATCTGGGGATTCTACAACTTTTCCATTTCCCAAATGTCCAGCACCACAAGCACCAGCTGTAGGTGTGGACATGGCCCCAGGTTGGTACCAACCATCAGCAGCAGATGTGCTTTGCTGTTTTTAACTCCAGCACATGTTGCAGACCAATCTCTGCCCTCTCTTCTGCCCTAAGACATTCCTAAATGTTGAAGCAGCCTTTGACTGGAAAGTGTTTTCTTTCTAAGTAGATCTGCATGACAATCTAAATAAACAGGGGAGTTTGTGAACTGTCAGTGACAAGCTGCTTCAGCGACGGGGTGAGACAAGGAAATAGGCAAAACATCAAGAACTTGAATTGGATGACTTATAAAAATATGTAATTCAAAACATAAAAATGTATAAACTTGATAGGACAAGGGGGAATGGCTTCCCACTGCCAGAGGGCAGGGTTGGATGGGATATTGGGAAGGAATTCTCCCCTGTGAGGGTGGGGAGGCCCTGGCACAGGTTGCCCAGAGAAGCTGTGGCTGCCCCATCCCTGCAAGTGTCCAAGGCCAGGTTGGACAGGGCTTGGAGCAACCTGGGCTAGTGGAAGGTGTCCCTGCCCATGGCAGGGAGTTGAAACAATATGGTCTGTAAATTCCCTTCCAATCCAAACCATTCTGTGAATAATTTTCATCACTTTAATAATCTCCTACTGAACCCGTATTGATGCCGATCACGCTCTTTTCTTCCTTTGGATTATATTCCAATAAAGTGGGTTTTCTGTGTCCCATAGGAAGCCCTAGAAATCCACAATCCTCGGTTCATCTCTCGCTCCCAGGAAAGGCTGAGGAGACTGGAACACATGGTGCAGCTGAGGAAAGCCCAGCAGAGTGACTCTCCTGTGGGCAGTCCCGGAGCGCTGGTTCGCAAGCTCTCCTCAACATCCACCTCCAGCAGGAGAAAGCACTACACCATTCCTGACCCTCTCAGTGGTGAGTTTAGCTGTGACCACCAACAGCTCTGTAATCTTCCCACATGTGTAGTATTTCCATATTAACTTGGGGAAAAAACACAAGAGAGCTGTTGCTCCTGTTTCGCCTGCCTGTGTCCAGCATCTGTCCCAGCAGAAAGAATCAGGAGCACAGGGGTGGAATAGTGGGAATGAGGAGCATTCTGTGGTCTGTGGCAGCAGGAGGAGACCTCCTTGAGGAGTTTTTGTTGTTGTCACACACAGTCATGGTCGGAATTGATGCTAATTGTGGAGGTGACAGCAATAAATGGCATTTTATCCCTCTCCCAGCTCACAGGTGACCAGTTTGGGGAGAGAGGTGACAGGTAGGGAGACACGGTGGGATTTGGGCTTAGGAGGCCAAATCTAATCTTCTCAGGAGCTTCAGGTGTGGATTTGCCACTTGACTCAGGAAGCCCATGGCAGTGAGTGGGCTGTGGAAAGAACTTTTGTTGTGTACAGGGCTGTTACATCAAGGCATCTAAACTCTGTGATTTCCTGATTCAAGATGAATATGTTGTTTTATCACCCCAGAGATAAACAGTCTCAATACCCAGTGAGTAAAGCAGTTCTGAACAGCTCCCTCCCTATAGCACCTCTGTAAATATTATCTAAGCACAAGATGTTAAATTGCTTTTCTTTTTCTTTTTTCTTTTTTTTTTTCTTTTTTTTTTCTTTTAATTGCCATCTGGTTGTTAATTAACTCAGTTGACTAAAGAAAAAGATTTATTTGATTGACTGGCATTCCTCTTGATAGCTTGGTTTTAAAATTGTGCCTGTTTGAAGATACATTATGCCACTGAAAAGTAAATCAATTGAAAACATTAAACAACCAGAAGGGACACCTGGAGGATTCAGAAAAGGGAATGTTTGATATCCTCAACTCAGGGCTCTTCCAGAAGGCCATGGCACAGGCCAGGAGTCTGTCACCTATCTCAGAAGAAGTGGCAAAAATCTCCCCCTTTTTTTGTCATCTTTGAAAGTCCCCCAAACCACTCGGCAAACGCTTTGTGGGAAAAAAAATTTAAAAAAAAAGAATAGTTAAACCTATTTCTCCTTAAATTATAATGAAAGTTTAATCTTTATGCTTGTTTAATGATTAATAAAAGCACAGCATTGAAATATATTAATTAATTATTCAGCTAAATGACTATTTCCCTCTTTTAGTGGTTGGTCATTAAAGGTAAATTTGCCTAAGGAGAATCTTTAGTTTCTGTAACTGATCTGCCTTCATGTAGCCACAGGTAATTTTCTGTTTGTGAGCTTCTAATATTTTTATAATGACAGAAGTGTCAGATGTTCTGTTATTTAAGCACAACTGCAGTTAATATTGGAAATCCAAGATCCCTGGACAAAGCCCAGCTCTGCAGGCTGCAGCACGGAGGGCTGTGTAGGAGTGTGCTGAGCATATTTAATCTGCTCTGAGTCCTGACAATCGATATTTTAGGCTTTGCCCTGCTGGCTGCTGTTGTGCAGGAGGATCTGTGTCATCAGTGAGACCCGGAGTGGGGGATCTTTCTTTGCTGCAAGGGCTTCTCCCTGGTGCTCACCCAGGGCACTGGATGCCCCTGTCCTGATGTCTCTGCTGATGACATCCCTGTCCCTCTGAGGTCACGGCCTCCTCCTTCGCTTCTGCCAGCCCCCAAAGCTGGGAGGGAGAGAAGGTATCACTTGTTGCCATCATTATTCTGTGATCTCTGGAATAGCCATTTTACCAGGTAAAATGCGCTTTTAAAGCAATGAAGAACTGCGTGTTTTTGAAAAGCAAGGTGAAAGGAAAATGCAGCTGTATTGCAGGGAGGGATGCAAGCACGGTTTCATTTACTGGGGTGGGAAGTGGACACCCAAATCCCAGTGATTTAAGGATACCATTTCCCTGGTGCAAGGGGAGCTGTGGGCACAAGCAGCAGTGTCACCTCCAGCTCTGTTGGCTGCATGTGTTCCTCTGTACCCCTATGTTTTATTGGCATCAGTGAGCTGATTTACAAGGAACTGATTTTTAGTAAATCTAGGGGAGGGTTGTTTAAATCAGGATTAAAATTAGGATTCCCTGAGCTTATTGAAAGCCATCTCTTCAAGTAGTGAAGAACCTGGAGTTTAGGGAAGACACAAAGCAGCCAGAAGAGGAAAAACATGTCTGGTATATCCAAAGACAGAAAGTCCTGACTCCACCTCCATCTCCAGCTATACCTGGCTGTGAGTCAGTTGTAGGCTCAGGACTGTGACACCAGAGTTGGGCACAGGGGCTGATGGCTGAGGGTCAGTGTGGTGTTTATCACAACCACTGCTCTCCTGGGTATGCTCCTTGGACACTTCCAGGGATGGGGCAGCCACAGCTTCTCTGGGCACCCTGTTCTCCCTCTGGTCTCAAGGAATGTGTGCCCAGTGCAGCCCTCCCTCAGGTTTCCTGGTCTCAGGAATCAGGCTGCTCCTCCACAGCAACACACCATGAAACAGTATTGGAAACTAAGAACCCAGGAGGGTGAAATGGTGGCCTGGAAATGTGTTTAAGCATTCAGGCTCGTACTGATGGCACCTGCGGGCTCCAGGGGGTGATCTTGGAGTTGCTTGTTTCAGTCTGATCATTTCCTCCTTTCTCGTTTTTTCTCTTCCCTGGTGTCTTTGGGATTTGTAGAGGTAAAAAGGCCTTTATGGCTCTGAGGTTCACAGGGATCACTGCCAGCACAGCCTCACGCATTTTCCAATGGTCTTTTTCTTAAGAGCAGGTTGGCTGATGAGTTTAATTTCCACTGCCCCGGCAGAGTGAGCCCAGGATGGATTTCATGCCCATCTGTGGATGAGGAGCAGGTCACTGCAGGTCACTTGCCTCAAGCACTGACTTTTACAGTTAGTTATCCAACTAGTTTTCCACCACAAGAGGACATTCCCTGCCCAATTCCCCACGTGATCACACAGGAAGGTGGTGTAGGATAGGGAGATGTGAGTGCCCATTTTATTCAGGTGTAAATGAGGGTTAAACTGCAGCCTGAGGTGCTTTCCTCTGTGCTTGACAAGTTTGCTGCACTTATTTCTCTCTGAAATGAGCTTGTTACATGTGCTGCTCTCTGGTCTTGCAGCTTTTATTTCAGTAAAATAATTTACACCCAGAGCAGTGACCTGCAGAGATTTTTCTCTACCTGGGATTACTCTATCAGCCTAAAATGTCTTTATTGGTAATATGAAATTATTAGCCTGGTTTCCCTATGTTTTGACGGTGTTGTTACAACAACTTTAGTTTCTTGTAAGAGAAAGAAATAATTGGCATTCAGCATCATTTCCATATAAATACCAACATCTGTGCACTTTCCATTTACCTTCTCATCCTCAGAAACCCAAGTTGTTTACCATTTTTTGATTGTGATTCACGAGCAGGGTTTTAAGGAGTGCTGAAAGTAATCTCGGAAAAATGAAAATGTTTATCCTGCAGAAGATTTTTATCGTCACAAGAGCTCTTTGAAGGCAAAGAACCTGCAACTCTCACTCTAGCCTTTGTGCTGGGTAATGGGTACTGCTAAATTTGAGAGTGCTAATTAGTCCAAGATAGACTACTCTGCTGTTTACTATGTCAGGCAAATTAGAGATCCCACTGTGACGAACTGAATAGAAACAATGTTCAAATAACTGGATTTAAATCTCCAAAACCGTAATGTAATTACTTCAGTGACAGGACTACCAGCTGTTTATAGGCCTTTAAATCTGCGTAATGAACAGCCCTGTGATCTTGGTGTACACAAGCACTTGGAGGGGTTTAACAAAATTTCTCAGGCACATATGTTTTTTTTTCCATACCTTCCATTTCGCTGCCCTTTGAGAGGGTTGGTGGTTCATTGCAAGTGGCAATAGAAGTTGAACGTTGCTGTTCAACCTCACCCTGGTGCCTGCTCTCTTTGTCTGGATTGGTATCCAAATCCTCCATCTTTAGGAACACTTTGGAAACAGGTTTATACCTCCTCCGTTGCTGGTTCTGAACCCTTCCAAAAAGCTTGGAGAAGCCTGGAGGGTGAGGATTGCTGCTGGTTTGGGTTTTCAAGGTTTCTTGAGCATCTCCGTGCCAGGGAGGTTTTTGTTTGGACTGTAGAGAGAGGAGAAGGTGGTAACCAGAGAGCAATCCTGCACCACTAAGGTGCACCCTCGTGGTTTTCACATGCCACTGGTGGCTGAGGAGATGTTTGCAGCCATCAGCAGCCCACGTGTGACTCGGGGCCAGCAGTTGTGCCGCTGATCCTTTGGGCGCTGGCCCCTTGTTTAAGTCTGACAGCTCTGAATAAAGACAAAGCTGCAGCCAGGTTATTGAATTAGGGAGTGGAACGACCTGTTTTTAGGATATTATTGCTCATCACACGGATTAGAGCAGTGCCTGTGAGTCAGATGAGCACACTGCAGGTCACAGGCAGTGGGTGAGAGAGGGTGACACGGTCCCTGGGGACAATGGGGTGGAGGTGAGAGTGGACAGGGTGACCAGTGTGTCCCCTCTGTGACCTCCTCCTGGGGAAGGAGGAAATAGGCAGTCCCTGTGCAATAAACTGGAAAATCTTCAAATAGGAGGAGTTTTCTGTGTGGGTGACAGGAAACAACGTGTCTCCCAGCGGGTGACTCATGGAGCTCAGTGGCTTTGCTGGAGATCATTTCGGGGCAGCCTTGGAGCAGCTAAATAAAAAAAAAAAACTGAATTTTTGTCCTCAACTTTTTAATCCAAGAGTAAAAGGTCTGATTTTCAGCCATGATTAGAAATTGAAGCTAAAGAAGTCAGGTTTAAGGAGCCGGTGCAAATTTTACCAAAGATTTATTTAATGTCCGATGAATTTACCAAGCTCTGTAACACCTTCTTCCTTAGCTGCTAATTTTTGAATAAAAGAAATTATACTTTTCAAGACTATGTTCTCTAATGAAACAAAAAAGATTTAGGAAGGCCAGGTGAGATGCTAATTGATTTTTTTTTTTCTGGGTAAATTCCATGAATATTTAAGTAGCATTTGGACAGAGGGGACTGAAATCTCCTGCGTCATCCCCAGAATTCACTTAGCATGAAAATGTTTTCATAAACCTATCAACTTTGCAACTTTTTCAGAAATATTAGTGATTGTTAAGACTGATATATTGAGGAGGGTCAGAAGTCTCAATAGTCACAGTGTAGGACCTGAACAGCTGGAAAGCCTGAGAACCACCTTCCTCTGGGTCCTCCTGGGGGAAGGACCACTTGGGAGCTTCAGCATTTCTCTGAGATGAGCAGAAGCTCAGACAGTCTCACCCTCAAACCTTTAACTCATGGCTTCTTGCGTTTTTTATAAATAATACCAAAACGTCATCTGTTGAGTGCAGCTGAAGGAATTCATTGCATGAAGTCACTGACATGGGATGTGTAAAGTTTGGGCAGCACCCCTGGGTGTAGGCACTGGTTTATATTCTCTGGATGAGTTCCCAGCCGAGTGCTATGGGCACACAAAGCTCAACATCACCTCAACATTTATCTTAGATTCCAGACTAATTTATTTTTTAAGGGGGCTGTTGATTTAAAAAAGTGGTGTTTAAAAAAAATGTTTCATATCTTAGGACTTCTACAAGCAAAATGGGCTTTTGGGGAATTATTTTTTTCAGTTCAGTAAAAAAAAGCAGTTAAATTAGAAAACCACCACTGCTCTTCAGGGACTGGCAATACATCCTCAAACACATGTTTTAAGTCCTAACAAAGTTTGAGAATTTGCATTCTTGTTAGGAGAAAATGTATGTATATTTTGATAAATTTTCCTACTGTTTTTCTCTTTTTTAAGTGTTTCAGTGATTTAGTGGTAAATAGGAAGTCCAGGGCTGGTTCCAACACAGTCATTTCATCTGTTCTCTGTCTAAACATTTACTAACTTCCCCGGCAGAGTTACTCATCCTGTTGGAGGTGCAATTCAGCATTAATTAAAATATATTACAAGGGTGACCCATTTACATTCATTTACAACTTGCTGAAGTGGCTTCTTTCTCCCACTGTCCAAGTGTCAGACCTGGTTGGTGGAAATACCAGAAACTCAGTAGTTTCACATGGTTTGACTAAAACACCAACAAAGTGTTTCAGGCCTCTCTATCTATACCTTTATTTAGCTGTGGTGCATCTCTGGAAATGCTGAATATCTGCTTTGAGATCCCTTGTTTTCTCTCATTAACAATAGTTGTCTCCAAAAGTGATACAAGGCTATGAAATTTGATAAAGAGCTTTGATAAGGAACTTGTAGAATGCAGTTCAAAAGACTATCAGCTAGGGGAATTGCCCACCTTATGCCCCATTTGATCTTTGCTTGGTGGGAAAGAACCTTAATTCAGGTCTGTATGATGTGCTTGGCAGGTTGTTATAGCTCTGAATGTGTGCTGCTTTTCCACTTCAAAACACACTTTCTTCTCAGTATTGAGTATTAGCAATATTTAAAAGCACATATAACTTTTATTTTCTCATTTATACCAGTTTTTCATTTCGTTTTCACTGAAATTTTGAATTCTAATCCTAAAAATCTTTCAAGGATTGGCCTTATTTCTGCCTGATGTTTACATGTATGCATTTTACTCATACAATAACAACCTGAGGGGAGCCAAGAGACACCATGAATGTTTAGCCATGACAGTGGCCTTTTGACTCCACACTGCTTCACAAAGGATATTTTTATAACCAAGGTGGATTGATTATTTTCTTGGAGGGTTTTCCCCAGACTCCCTTTTTAATCCATCCCTTCAAAGCCCTGCACAGCCACACACCTCGTTCCAGGCACAGCTGTGGGCAGTGGTGGGTCTGATGCCCTTCAAGACCATTTCTGTGCCATCAGGAGAGAATTATTCTGGAGGCAGGGCACCTGGCACAGCTCCTGGCCTCTGTGGTGCTTCCCAGCACTCCCACACAGAGCCCAGGCTGCCTTAGGGGCTTGCAGGAAAAATACAGATTAGCTTTTGGTGCTGTACACAGCAAAGGTCGCGGGGCTGCAGATCCCCAGGTGGGTTTTGCTTGTTCTGGTGTCTGTGCACAGAGGTCTGGAAATGTTAATGTGTCATTATGTTCCATCCCTGGAAGTGTCCAAGGCCAGGTTGGATGGGACTTGGAGCGACCTGGGATAATGGAAGGTGACCCCAATGGCAGGGTGTTGGAATGAGATGGTCTTTAAGGTCCCTTCCAACCCAAACCATTCTATGATTCTGCAATCAACAGCTTTTATTTGGGAAAAAGGGGAGGGGAGATCCCTAAAACAATTAGTTTGATTGCAGAAAACCTGCATCTGAGAATTCCTGGAGTAAAAATTCATCGATTTGAGCAGTCATCACTCACAGTGCTCAGGAGATGATACAAAGCCTGGGCTCTGCTGATCAGCCACGCTCTCTGACTGTATCACATCCTGGGAGAGTCTGCCTTGACTTACTGTGGGAGGACATCATGCAGGCAGTGCAGGTTTGTGCTGGGGTGTCATTTCTAGTGCCCTCAGCTGCTCTTCTGTGCTCTTGAAGGACAGGGGAGCACCCAAGGAACTGGTTGTGACATCAGGGATCTCCTACTGAGGGACGATATTACCATACAGACAAAAAGATGCCCGAATTTGCTGTGCAGAATGAAATGCCTCCTGGTTTTGTTTTTGAAACTCAGAGAACCCCCAGTGAGGGTTTTATGTGATTTCAGGCTTAGCCTGTGCCATTCTCAGGGTTGGAGGACGTGCCCTGTGGGAAGGGGTGTCTCATGCAGCCCTGAGCTGTCAGGATGAGGTGTGAACCTTGAGCAGCAGGGGAGGCTGAGGCTGCTCTGGAATGTGCTGGGATCCACACTGCTCCCAGAAAATCAGTGACCCCGGACCCCAGTCCTCCACCAGGACCTTCTGGGTCACAGGCAATCTGCTCCTTTCAGTTGCAGGGTTATTTGGACAGCAATCGCGTCCAAGTGTTTATTCAAGTTAATCAACGTATAAATGAACATTAAAACACTAATAAATAAAAGACAAATTATGTTTTCCCAGCAAATTGGGCATGTTGCTTATTTGTACTGAGGATTTAATAAGAATGATTAAGTGTAGGCAACTGCTGAGTGGAGAAAAGTCAGTCCTGAGGCGGAGGAGGCTTCTCAGCCTCTCTCCTTTCTCAAGTTGTGCTTGGAAAACTGCAGGAGTTCAGAACAGAAACTGTTGCAAAGCTCCTTTTTATTTTTGATTAGAGAGACAGAACATCCCTCCTATGAGAAAAGACCAAGAGACTTAGGATTGTTCAGCCTGGAGAAGAGGAGGCTCCAGGGAGAACTGAGAGCCCCTTCCAGTGTCTAAAGGGGCCCCAGGAGAGCTGGAGAGGGACTGGGAACAAGGGATAGAGGGACAGGACAAGGGGGAATGGCTTCCCAGTGCCAGAGGGCAGGGATAGATGGGATATTGGGGAGAAATTCTTCCCTCTGAGGGTGGGGAGGCCCTGGCACAGGTTGCCCAGAGAAGCTGTGGCTGCCCCATCCCTGGAAGTGTCCAAGGCCAGGTTGGACAGGACTTGGAGCAACCTGGGCTGGTGGAAGGTGTCCCTGCCCATGGCAGGGGGTGGAACAACATGAGCTTTAAGGTCCCTTCCAAACCAACCCATTCTATGATGCCACGATCCTGTGAAGTTATATAGAGATACAACTTACAACAGTGATCTCATTTATTTTGTGGCCGCCCACCTTGTATGAACACCATCCTTTCCCTTTCAGAAACCATTTTTTGCAGAGCAGGTGTTAAAATCACCTATTCTTGAGAATCACTGACTGCTAAGATCAGTGATTATTTTCCTCTATCCAGGGAAATGCTGACTGGAATTATCACAAATCTTTTCATATTTGATCAGGGAAGAGTAATGGAATTTTCCTCCTTCTAACACTGGGCATAATTATTCAAAGCCCTTCCAGACAGGTGTAAATCAAATCAGAAATGCTGGTACCAGGCCAGATTCCCAACACACATCAGCAATGTGGCACAAGGATGTGGGGAAGATGGATCACTTGAGAGAGCAGAAATCATCACTGGTTCTTAATCTGAGTAAAGGGCATACACAGCTACATGTGACAATGACAAAACCCACCTCCTCATCCTGCAGGGAAGCTTCAGGATCAAAGATAGCTCCAGATGAAGCTGTTAAATGTTTTTCCATTGACCTGTCGAGATTCAGATCCGGCCTTAAGCTGTCAAAACTTCAGCCAGCGGTAGCATGTCATGGCTACGTGGAACAGGACATTTAAGATCTAAATAAATGCAGATCTCTCCAATATTAACTTTATTTTCCCTCTGCTAGATAACCTCTTCAAACCAAAGGAAAGGTTCATTCCTGAGAAGGAGATGCACATGAGATCTAAAAGGTAAAAATCTCTCCTGTTTAGGGTTCACTCGTGGTTTTCTTGATAGATTGATAGTTTGGTAGATTTGGGGCAGCCCTGCCCTTTGAGCAACGCTTTTCTACCAGTTTCAGACAGCATGGCATGAAAAATACGTCCCCAACAGGTAACTCCTGTGGAAAATTCACAAGTGGAAGCAGTGAGGTCGCTTTGGTGGGGTTGTTTTTCTGTGGTGTTCGATCTTTAGCTGCATCGCCCTTTGTGCCATCGTGAGCAGCAGGGGAAGCTGCGAAGGGGCCACCATGTGGAATCCATCCTGATTATCAGAGTGCTCAATATGTGTCCCATTCCTCTCCTCCAAAATACAATCTCCAGCTCCAACAGGCTCCTTCAAGAACTCGGTGTTGCAAAATATTATGAGGAAAAATCAGAACTAAACAGGCTTTTTGTGCATGCAAAGAACGGGACTACTGGGAAGGAAGGCCCAGCTTTTTTTTTTTTTTTTTTTTTTTTTTTTTTTTTTTTTTTTTTTTTTTTTTTTTTTTTTTTTTTTTTTTTTTTTTTTTTTTTTTTCAAAACTCCTGTGAATTTTCTCATTGATTTTAATGGAAAAAGATAAGACCAGAAGTCAGCTTTTTAAAAGGCAACTCTTGTTATTTTGAAAACGGAAAGATTGTGTTCTCCTGGTAAAAAGAGTTCCTAATGACTGGGAAAAAATGTTAACGGTCTACAGTCTTATAATGATGGTTTTCTTGTATTTTAGAAAAATACTTGAAAATTATTCCTTGGTATTAATTTTGTTGCATAAATTAAAAAAATAAAAAAACCCAAACAACAGTGTACAGGCCAAATTCTGGTTTGAATTATGTTGCTATAAATTGAAACAAACTCCACTGAGCTTGTTAGAAGCTACTGCAGAGTTACATTGCAGCACTGAGATAACCTGGTGACATCCCTTTCTTGACCTTCTTTCATTCCAAAATTAGAACTTCCAACAAGATTTTTCAACCGATCAGATTTAATATAAAACCGTTATTGTCAATAATTTGTAATTCCCCTGCCATGAATCTAATCCAGGTGCTTAGAGATGCCATTAATGACAAATATTGCACTGAAGGCAAACGTTTCCTAGAGGAGTCCAACAGATGACATGAAAACTTCACTTTGTGACTTCTTTACAGGATTTATGAAAATTTACCTGAAGTGAAAAAGAAACAAGAGGAAAAGCAGAAAAGGATCATCATGCAGAGTAACAGGCTGAGAGTGGAGATGTTTAAAAAGGTAAGGATTTCCTGGGAAAGCCAAGCAGAGTTTTGTAACCCCATAGATGGGTCTGTAGAGGCACTGGGGACAGACTGTGCTCACCATGTGCAAACCCTGAGAGCAAGGAATGGCTTTTAAATCTTGTCCTCGGGTTGAGGCACTTCTTCAACCTTGAATTAACAGCCTGAACCCTCACAGAAGGATGGAATGGTTTGGGTTGGAAGGAACCTTAGAGACCATCTTATTGGGCAGGGACACCTTCCACAAGACCAAGTTTCTTCATGCCCTATGTTGGGCTAAGCACCCCAGCCTTTTATTTTTTAAAAATCAGTAATTCGTTATGATGATAGAAAGCTGCAGGTGCAGACTGGAGACATTCTCAGATAATCCTGCTCCATGGTGCACACAAGTACCAGTTTCTCCTTGTTTAAGTGCTCTCTTCCTCCATCTCACAACACCCTTCCTCACCAGGATGGAAAAGCCTGCAGTGTTTGGTTCTTTTTTTGAGCAGTGAGCAAGTATATTTGAAGTCTGAGAATGCCAATTCCATCTCACCTCCAGTATCACCGAAGATTTCTGCCACCTCATGTATTTTAACAGTATCTTAAAGCTGTTTTTCATCTTTTTTTTAGCAATTACTGGACCAGCTCCTTCACAGAAACACAGAGTGACAAAGGAGTCTCTTGCCCATCATCCTAATTGGATCTTGAATGCCTTTGACTGCTAGATAAGCCATAAATTAACTGTTATCTCAATTACCTGGAGGTATTTTTCTTATCTTTGCCTCTTTAAATAAAGAAAGATCATTTGT